GGTGCTGGGGGGGGGGGGCGCCGGCCGGCCCCGGCTGGCCGGGACAATAGCGGGAAGCCTGGTCTCCAGCGGGCTGCAGCGGTGGCTATTGTTCGGCCGGGCACTTCCACCGCCCCCCGCAACACGTGCGCGGGAGCCACGCTCTTGCCCCCTGGGTGATGGCTTTACAGGCTGCCTGTTTGCCTCTGGTTTCTATTTTAGGGGGCAGGCTCCTAGCACGGCCACGTGCAAGGACTGGCCGGATTCCTGCAGGTGAGACCCAGCCCCAGGTGTCAGCCCCAAATAGTGCTTACAGCCCAGGGCGGCGAGGAGCGGGTGCTGGGTGCTGGAGTCTAAGAATAAACTAACCCTTTTTCCAGCTGCTCTGAGCAAAACTTTCCACATCCTCTGAGTGTTTCATTCTGTTTTTCTCCCCAGCTGGCAGGGCTCAGCGTCCCCTTGGTAATTGCACTCGATAGCTTCATTAACAGTCGGGCTTAGACACTTGTGGTTAATGGTCCAGATCCTACGTAGCTGGTCCCAGCAGAGCTGTCTCCGAGCGCACAGAGATGAGCAGGGAACTGGATGGAGGCCCTTGGGCACCTCGCCACCCTCACCTAACTTACCTGGAAAGAGCACTGCCCAAAGACCCTGGGCATGTGCTGCCGCTGAGTGCTACTCCAGCGACTGCCCTGAGGCCAGCGAGCCTGTGGACACCTGACCCATGGCTTTTGAGGCGTGTGGGGGGATTGAATGATATGCTAGATCTACCATACCACCATACCGGTATGGCTTTCTTGCCCCTGGGCGACCTCTTAGCAGCTCCCAGTTCTCCCCAGGGGAGCTGAAAGGCTTTCTTGACCCTGGGGGATCAGTGGGAGAAGGGAGTTGTTGATGAGAGATGAATGCATGTGTAATGTGTTGCCTTATGGGGCACCAAGATGTTTCTTGGGCAGTGTTAGGGAGGTGGCCACTCTCCAAAAACCACCATGAGATGCTGAGGGGAGAAGCCGAGGGGGTCGCTATCCCCCCTGCAGTGCGCCCAGCCGGCACCCCTGAGGAGGGGCAGCCCGGGCTCCAGATGTGCTCAGCTGGGAGCAGAGCTGCGCAGGGTACCTGCGTGGGTGTGTGAAAGCACTGCCAAGGGCTGGTGTTTATTTCTGAAGCAGCTCATCTCGCCGAGTGCTAAAGCCAGGCTAGCACCCCAGCCCAGCAGGAGCCTTTCCCATGGGCTTTAACTGTCCTGGGCATGCCAAGGTCCCCGGCGCAGTGACCGGGTTGTTTGTCCTGCAAGGGGGAAGCGGTCTGAGCAGGAGGTGATGCGAGGGGTATCTGCTGCATGACACTGATCCCCTCCCAGCATCAGGGCTGCTGCAAGCCCTCCCACTCCTGGCCCGGTGGGGCTTATTTCCACCTCTCTCCTCTGCCTGGCTCATCCCTCCCACCTCTGCACTTGACTTGCGCTCGCCACCACGGCACCAGGGCATCCCCGGCCCCTCCACGCCACCCCTGTCTGTGTCTTGCTCTTGCTCTTCGCTGGCTGGCTCCTGGAGCTGCGAGGAAAAAGTGGTCCCTTGGGAGGAGCCGCTGCCAGGAGCCCAGGTCGAGTCCTGCCTGCAGAGAGCTGCCTCCCCGCCAGCTCGGTAGGACCATCCCTCTCTGTAGGTTCCGCTCCCGCAGCCACGGCTGTCACAGGTGGCAGCTCCCAGTGGCAGTGCAATGCCCCAGCCTTCCTGGCTTCTTCCGACTGGTACTTATGGCCCAGGAGACTCCCACGCCTTTCCCCTCCGCTGCTCTCCCGCTTCCCTCGGCGTCTCTTCTCCTCTTGCTCCTTGCAGCATCTCCCTCCTCCCACACTCACTGCTGGCCCTTGTGCCTGATGGAGCGGCTGGCTCGGAAACGGCTGCTGATTTTCCTCTCGCTTTCCTCCCCAGACTCGTTGTTCCCTCTCGACATCGGCGCTGTGAAGAAGGACCACAGCTTCCTGGACCAGGACTCCCTCAAATCCCTGTGCAGGTAACGCTCCCTTGCACCCCTTCACCGCTGCAGGCAGCAGAGCCAGCGCAAGGACTCACCCCAGGCGAGGGCTCAGGGCAGGTGCCCGGGCTGCTTGCGGTCCCCGGGGCTGACGGGGCGGTGGGTGCTGTGGGGTGACTGCCTTGCACCCCGGCTGCGGCTCAGAGCCCGCTCAGGCGCTGTTGGCTCCCTCTGCAACGAGGAGTTTGGATTCGTTAGTCTTTCAAGTCAGAAAGCGTTGCTGGCTGTTGGGTGGTGCCAGGGAAACGACAGCGGTTTTGGTTTGAACATACAGAGCTCCTGGAGAACAGAAACATTTCCCAGGAATAATTCTCCTCTTCGTGTGGCTTTCGGGCTGTGTTTTAATTTCGACCACCACAGTGGCGGTTTGGGAGCTGGCGGTTTGCACGGCGATTTGCTTTGCGCAGGTGAAGTCTGTGCTGGTGGGTCCCCCCTCTTCCCTGGAACAACTGCTCTGTCGGCTGCTCTGACCAAGGATTTTTGCGTTCACAAGTGCTCACTGGCTTCGTGTGACGTTAGTCATCCCGGCGCCTGGCAACGCAGCGCTGCCGTGCATTTTCCGCCAGGACACGCTACTCCTTGCAGCAGCAGGGCTGAAAATAGCTCTGGGAGATGCTGCTGGGTGTGTTGCTGCAGGGAGGCAGCCTGTGTTTCGGGGGGAAACTCTCCCAGCGCTGCCAGTGTGAGCAAGAGCAAACGCCCAAAAGGAGGGACCCCCCCCGGCTCCCGTCCCAGTGTCTGTCTGTCCAGATGGTCTGTCTGTCCGGACGGGCTGTGTGTCGCCCGGCGCTGTGGGTGACTCAGCCCTGCCTTGGCTTTCGGGCCACATCATCGTGCCCGTGCCCCCGCGCTGACTCCACGCCGAGAAATGAGCGCTGCCTCTCACCGTCCCTCCCACACACACTGCTGCCAAAAAGAACAGGGAAGGGATGGGAAAATGGTCTGTTACTTATTTGTTTTCCCAACAGAGAGGCTGCTGCGCCAGGCAGGAGGGGATCCCCTGCGCTGCTTCCCGGGTGCCTGGCGAGCTCCTGGTTTTCCCTCCCGGTGGTGGCAGCGAGGCGGGAGGTGACGAGAGGTCTCTGGCCATTCCGCCCTGTCTGAGCTTTTGGGTCCTTTTGTCATCGTCTGGCTGGCCGCAGGAGCTTCTGAGATTGTTTTGTTCTAATAAGCTGGAGCAGGTCATCCCTGTACGGCTGGGTGGGCCACGCAGGGCAGGAATGTCCCCGGCCCCCCAAGCTGTCTCTAGGATCCCTGAGGTAGCCCCTTGCAGCATTTGGCTATCAAAAAGGTCTAGAAGGACACTGGAAAATGCAGCTCTTCCAAGAAAATGAATCCCCTGGACGTGTTCTCTTACCCCCTAGCACACGTGTGCTCCCATCTCGCTCCCTCTGCCAGACTTCATGCATTTAATCCTGCCGCAGGATGCGCTGCAGGACCATGCTGTTGGTCGGGGGGCTTCAGTGGGATCGCAAGAGGGGCATTAGTCAAATTCTTGGTAAAATGTCTGTGAGGTTTGTTTTTGGCTGTGTAGACTGGTATTTGCACGCTGGAACAAAAGTGCTTGTAGTAGCGTTCTTGAAGGTGCTGATTAAAGTGACTTAATTGGAAATGCATTCACTTGTGTAAAGAAAAAAAACCCAGGACTTGAAGCTGTAGGCTAGAGAAAGGTGAAAGGCCCGGCTGGGGGCCTGGCAGCCTTGCTTGCAGGAACGGCTCTCCCCAAGCCCGCTGTGGGTATATTTTCTCTCAGAAATAGCAGAAACGCCCCCGGCAGCCCTCGTGCCGGGCTGCTCCTCCATGGGCAGCAGAGTGGGGGTCACAGCTGCTCCCCGCAGCCATCGGTGGGGCCAGCTCACAGCCAAGGCAAACCCTCAGCATGCAGAAGGAACCAGGACACCTGGGAAACGCTGCCTGAGAGGTGGCCAGCACCCGTGGGGCCCCGGCAGCGCGGTGGTGCCAGGAGCGGTGGGAGATGAGCGTCCTTCGACGCTGCAGCGGTGGGTGACGGGCGCTGGGGTGGCTGCAGGCATTTAGGCACGGCCAGGACGTCCAGGTGCCTGCGCGGAAGAAGTGGGGTGCCGCTCCGATGGCTGTGCTTGCAAAATCCCCGCTGGCGCACAACCGAGGGCTTGTGCCACTCGTGCGCTTGGGCAGCTTCACCCCTTGGCTGCGATGCCCGGGGCGCATGCGACTGGGTGCCCGGGCGGGTGGCGGAGGCGCGGGGTGCCTGCAGAGCTCTGCGGGCAGGGGTGCAGCTTGGGGTGCTGTGCTCCCCTGGGAGCAGGCGTGGAGCTGTGCCAGGCTCCGCATGTCTCTCTGACCCCTGGAGCCGCAGCTGCTGGGTGACAGGTGACAATGAACAACAAGGGCTCTAAGACAGAAACAGAAAAAAAAAGAAAAAGCAAGCACTGCGGCCCCAGCAGGGGCCAGGAGCAGGGTAAAGCCTCTCTTGGTTTCTTGCAGGAGGCTGATGACCCTGAACACATGTGCCTCCATGAAGCTGGAAGTCCACTTTCAACGTAAACAGGTACGTCCTGGGCGTTCAAGGGCAGGCAAGGGGCTGAGGGGCACGGGGGAATGTGTGTGCACTGGTTGGGGCAGCAATCCTGTGTTCAGTAATAACACTGGTGTGCTCCAGGACTGCCCCTGGGCACAGAGCAGCACCCAGCGCTGCTGGTTTATTTGTTTTACTACGTCCCAGGACAGACACGGCCCCAGAGGTGCCTGGCTGAATTAGCGGGCGCCTGTGTTCGTCCCGTGCCCCTGCACCTCTCCGAGGCTCTGGCAGCGGCAGTCAAACGGCAGGTGGTCTGCGCAGGGCTGTGTGCCTGCAACCTGCATCACCACTCTCGGGGTCTCTGCTGAGCCGGGCTCTGAGACCCCCTGGCAGCACATCTCCAGGAGGAAGCCTGACCCCAGAGAGATGGGCGAAACCAGTCTGTGTGTCACAAACAACAATTAATATTGGCATATTAATAACAAACCCTTTTATATTTCCCTTAATGAATAATACATTTAAAATGCAAGCCAGCTTGGTGTTTAGCATATGGAAATCATTACATGATTGTATCCCTGCTTGTTCTGACTGCCCTTATTTTGGCTTGGGGAAGGGATTCTGCCCTGCATCCTTCTCTGCACTGCCGTGCGTGGCCAGGCGTTTGTGGGGAGGCTCCGCAGGGACATCCCAACTGCCTGTGAGCTATCCAGAGGTAGCTTGGAAACAGCACCTTTCCTTGCCCAGCGCAGTATGGCCCTTGGGCACGGGCAAAATGATGCCTGGCGGCTCCTGGAGCCCTGTGTTGTTAAAGGGACCAGAGTGGGTTTAAGGGGCCATGCTGTGGACTGTGCCCTCCGCTGGGGTGCTTGTCCCAGGAGAGCGGGCAGGGGGACGTGCCGACCCCCTGTGACTCTGACTGATTGATTGTCCCCTGTTTTCAACCGCCTGCAGAATGAAGACTCCGAGGAGGAAGACCTGTGCGCCATCAGTGACCGGTGGGCTTTTCAGAGGGACAGCAAGAGGTGGTCCCGGGTGGGCTCCGTCGACGTCCTCTCCCAGGGCTCCGAGGTCCTGAGCTCCACCATGCGGCTGGCGTCCAGCCACGAGAGCGTCCTCACGGACCTCAGCACCAACCCGGAGGCTGCGTCCCTGCACAGCAGTGGCAGCACGCTGGGCGTCGGGGCCACGCCGCCCGACCCCCCGTCCCCCATCCTCCCCCCCGCCGCCATCACCACCTCCAGCCGCAGCGTGAGTGAGCGCTCCTTGCCGGAGCAGCCCTCGAGCCACGGCGAGGGCTCCAAGGAGAAGCTGAAGAAGCGACGGTCTCGCAGCTTCCTTAAGAGGATCGAGTCCCTCCGAAGGAAGGACAAAGAGAAAGCTGGCCCAGATGAGAAGGCGGCCCCACATGGCAGCATCACAGCCACATCAGGATGGGGGTCCCTGAAGACTAATGGGGACCTTGCAGCCACCAAGGGCAACTCCCCTAAAAGAGGGATATCTGCCTCTTTCCATGGCAAAAAACATTTCTTCTCGGTATCGTACAGGACTAACCGCTTGCTAGGTTCAGGCGGGAGCAAGGTGAGCTCTGACTCGAAACGCAGTGGAGTCTACCTGGAGGACTATGAAACGGCCGTGACAGCCAGCGGCGACTGGGCTGCTGGAGAGTGCCAGCACCGGCAGGCATGCCGGGGGGATTGCTTGGTCTACATCCCCCGGGACCACAAGCCGGGCACCTTCCCCAAATCCCTCTCCATCGAGAGCTTGTGTCCCTTGGGCGGCAGCTCCCTGACCCACTGGAAATCGGGGAACGCGCCTGTCGGGCTGGTGGGAGGTGGCGGG